TTAAAAATCTAACACCCTGAGACATCAAACAAACCTCCCACGACACTAATGTATGGCATTCCTATTGTCCAATAGGTTTGCCCAATTTAGGCTTCTAAATAAATGGACTTTTCACCATTAAAGCAAAACTCACAATCATTAACAGTTAATGCAAAGACATACATTTTTGAGACCAATCACACCATTTAAGCATAATTTTTAGTTGAAAAGAACAACTAAGTATTTAGCTAAATGATATAGTAGAATGGACACAATCTGCTACCTACTAATGATATAAACGTGTACCGGTACCATCGTTGTATCCTGACTTGCCATTTGCAACGGGCACTTTGAATGACAACTGCATTTTAGAGAATAAACACCCATAAGGGCGTTACGAAATCAAGCTTAATCCAAAATCTTCATATTCCACTTCGAAGACTCCATTTTCAAAAATAAGAGAGTTTAACATGTCAAATCACTCATTTGAAAAATCTCAAACAACTATTAATCAATGCAATATAAAGGCACGTTCCAAATTATGTACTTGTAGGAATAATCTCAAATAATTATCAATTAATGCCCCAACTACCTAATGTGCAGAATAGCCCTGGAGCTGTGCTGTTGTTTGCGTTGGTCTACCTTCAAACATAACATAGTTGCATCACGAACCAAAGCAATTAAGCAAAAAATCTTCATATTCCAAGTAGAATGACTCAATTCAATTTGGCCAACGCTTTATACATATTGTTTACCCCTGGACCTGTTGCACTTGCGCCTTCAGATCTTCGTGAACACAATACAATTGCGGAGAGGAGGCTGTCAACGGAATAAAAATTGTTAATTAAGTGAATCACCATACAACTAAGCAAACGCGCTCTTCTTGATTAGCTATCAAAATAGTGGGGGTCGCTACAATCCATCGGTTGCTCCCTCTGCGCCTAAGTTGTAGATATTAGGTTTCAGTGAGAACTTTGAGTACATGAGGAGATATTTTGTAGTGGAGGAGATGACCCGGCGAGTAGAATAGGAAGATTTGGAGAGGCTGCGATGGGCAAAGCAGTTAAAATCGAGATTTTACCTAAAATCGAAAACTGTGATAAAATCAAAATCGTATAATCGAATCGTAAAATCGTAGGATTTTAAGTACCATATAGAACATAGCATATAAGAATATTAATAAGGTAAATTATTAATATCACAAGACACATAGAATTTAAAATGGTAATTCAGAAGATTTTTTTTCCATAAGATAATTCTCAAGATTAATGTTCCAAAATCACTATTTTAATTGTTATTTAATGTGTAACTCAAAATAATTCATGATGAAGGGATATAGTTCATGGGTTTGGCTCTTATTTTCATGTTATGTCTAGGTTGTTTAACTCAAAGTAATATTTCGACATCGTCTACTAAGTATGATTTAAAACTAAAAATAATTGAACTCCAATAAAATAAGTAATGTTAGTGGCTTGGTACAAATATATTCATTAATAAATTAATTAGTTAATAATGATGTTAATTCTTACATACTTCCAATATTAGGACAGGTGTTTTACCAATAAGTTAAATGGGGTGAAGGGAAAGAGATTAACCGAACCCTAATTTGGTTATTTTTATTATTTTTGAATATTTTTCTAATAGAAAAATATCCGAGAAGATTCCATTGCCCTTTCCGCTGAAACAGTTATACTTATTTTAAATTGACTCAAACCACCTATTTTGTTCTCTTACGATCAAAATCCCGATTTCGGTACTATTTTACGATTTTAACGATTTTAGTCCCGATTTTAAACGATTTTAAGGTCCACCGATTTTATAGTAAAATCAAGATCGGAATCCCTAAGTAAAATCCTAAAATCCTACGATTTTACGATCAAAATCCCGAATTTGACTGCATTGGCGATGGGTGCACGATTAGTGGGCCAAATAACAGTTTGGGCCCGTTTAAATGAAAACATATTTTTACTTTCGTGCTCAACAGACCGACCGCACTGGCATCTTCTAAATTTACCCCTAAAAAATTGCTCTGTACGCATCAAATTTGAAATGGAATCCCTCTTTTCTCATTTCACATTTCACATTTATATGATGTGTAGATTGTGATGAGTGTAGATGTAGACCTGTCATTGTCCTACAAATTCATTAACACGCCAAAATGTGGTGAAATGAGCCACCCTATTAAACACAATCTTGTATAATGATCATTGGATCCAATCATGCCAGATTATGAAGAAGTTTAAAATGTAGCGGTTATCCCGACTAAAACATTAAAAGAACCAGTCTCATATAGTTTGCACAAAGATATAATTTCTTCATAGTAATTCTGAAAAATAATATTAATTTAAGAAGTCGATATTGCTTCTACATGTTTAATATTTCAATTCGATATGAAATATTCGAACCAGTGATATTTGGGCTGCAATTTTAGGGTTATTGTATATTTATAAAATAAATAGAAATTTAAATTAAGTATTAAACTACAACTAAAATAATCAAAGTATTAAAACACCAAATAAATACTTACGGGAGATTCAGTGGCCAACTAATCGTTAAAAAAGTCATATGATTTTCATAATTTAGGTTCGTGTATGTTTGAATTTAAATAGATACAACAAATATACTTAGTGTGATTGGTTATGATCCTTGCTTGCCTTTAAAGAGACCAAGGTTCAAATCCCATTGTATGCCTTTTTTTATGAATAAATAAATAAGAAAATAAGCAATTGTGAAGACCAAAATGTCCTTCCTATAATCACTCTCGTTGCAGGAAATTTAAAATGGAGCAACGATTTTCATCATTCGGCTTTTATTTATTATCTAGATAGATGCAAACAACAGCCGAAGTCCAAAACTGACAAAGAAAAACAAGGACAACCCAAAGATATAAAGAAAAAAACAATAAATCAAAGAAATTCGATATTGAACTTGCGGTGTGGTCTGAGCAGGACTGTTGGCCATCGTGTAACAAAATCTATATCCATTGAAAAAAAGTCAATCACACAATCTAAGATTCAACCTCATTCCAAGTTTGTTAACACAACCGGTATCGTGTAGGATAATAATCTAAATGCATATGAAAAGACAATACAACAAGTTTTATGTTGTCGAAACCTACATGTTAACTCAATGTCATTTTTAAAAAAAAAATCTTTTGCCTCCATCTACAAAACAATGGATCTACACACAAACTTTCACATATTAGCTGAAAATAGATTTTGTACTTTTTTATTACGGAAGTAGAATTTATGCGGTCACCATCTTCGATGAATATGCCATAGACGGGCCAAACTTCGGAATCTCCACCAATAGTCCGGGCAAATTGCGAGGTGCAGGGGCGGAGCCAGGATTTCGAGACCGGGGGGGCCGAAAATAATTAAAAAAAATTATGTAACCAATGTGGATCGAACCCATGTGCTATAATACACAAGTTAAGCTTGGCTACCATTAGACCACATAACTATTTGATCATATAATTTACAGAACATGTTCTACTTCTAAAATTTGTACGAAATATCTTTAAAAACCTAGGGGCCGGGATCAATCCCGGGGGGGCCGGGGCCCACCCTAGCTACAATGTAGCTCCGCCCCTGGCGAGGTGTCTCCAGGAACACCATTACAACGATGAGGATCGAACTTAGCACCTCTCGATCACCAAACCGTCTCCCTTGCCACCAGACTATATGAACTTTGGCCAGTCCAAATGTTGTACTACACCGACTGCTGCATGCTCCAATTAAGTTCCAAACCCAGCTGGGATATTAGAGAAATCTTTCCTTCTTTGAACTATTCCGTGTCCGGCGCCATCAGTCCATCACAGTATCTATTTTTTTTATTAACGTAGACCAGAGAACGGGAACAGATCAAAAGCGGCAACGATAAATTAATCTCCTTCCGCCTCCGTTTTTGACAGCAACAAGGTTGTCAACCCGCGGGTTGATCCGGACCCGGTCGAGCTAGTGGGTCAAGGGTTAATGGGTCAACCGTTTTAGTCCGGTTTGGCCCGGAAATATGGAAAAAGTCATTATATTGTATTTATCCTCATAATTTATATCAAATCTTATCTAACATATGTGTTATAACATATAATATTACACCAAAATAACATATCATATATAGATCCAACATATAGTGAAAATTCACACACACTTATATAACATAAATATTCAAATGTTCGACTTAGCATTCCAAAAATTGAGCTAGGCGAAAAGAAAAATCGGAAAATAGACGCATTTCGCAAACCAAAGAAAAAAATGACACAATTTGACTAGGAATGGCAATGGGGCAGGTCCGGGGCGGGTTTCTTGGTACCCAGACCCGCCCCGTGGCAGGTAGGGTCCAGGTCGGGTAATTTATCGCGGGTTGCGGGTTGGGACAGGTCGACCCAATGAGTATGCAATTTATATGAAAAATATTAGAAATATTCGTTATTTTTATTATAAGACCAAGAAAACAAACAATATTATGATAAATGTAGTTAAATTATTGGAGAAATTGAGGTTTTCACTAATTTACAGCTTAATTATAGCTAAATTATGATGTAATAAAAGAAAAATGTTAAGTAATTTGACTAAGATTACATGTAATCAGGAAAGAACGGGTCGAGAATGGGGCGGGTCAGGGCAGGTCGGGTCGACGAGAGTACCCATGCCCGCCCCACCCCGCCTACGGGGCGGGGCGGACCCGTCCCAAAACAGGCCAAACAAGTTGGGTAAAACGGGTCAGGTCGAAATTGTCATTCCTAAATTTGACCTCCAACCCGGTACCTTGTAGCGATCGGCCAGACGGGTGCGTGCGGCCCGTTTTTCTCACCGGGTCAGGGTCAAAGTGGGTCGACCCGCGGGTTGACAACCTTGGACAGCAACCAAACATGCATGCTCCTTTTCCCACTGCGCGCCCAAATGCTCGATGCAAGTCCGCATATATCATTGCACCACTTTCTATAAATTGATTATGTGTAGAACTATAACGAGTTCACCGCGAAAAAACACATAAATAAAAAAGAGTACGTACAGGAAAACATGAAAGACGACATGGAGTCTCTTACCGGGCAGGCAGAGCTATTACAACACATGCTGGCCTACGCCGACTCCATGTCCCTCAAAGCCGCCGTCGACCTCCGCCTCCCCGACATCACGCACTCCCACGGCGGCTCCGCCACTCTGTCCCAACTACTCTCCGCCATCGACCAATCATCATCATCTTCCCCAGCCGACGCCTCCACCCTCGTCCGCATCATGCGCCTCCTCGTCCGCAAAAACATCTTCACGTCATCCGACCACCAGGAGCCGCGCTACGGCCTGACACGTGTCTCCAAGTGGTTGGTGCGTGGATCCTCGGACGAGGAGCTGAACAGCCTGGCCCCGGTTCTGCTGTACGACAACCACCCTCTGTCCGTGACACCGTGGCGGGCGGGATCGGGGAGAACGTAGGGGAGATCGTGAAGGTGTTTCCCCACGTGAGAGGGATCAACTTCGATTTGCCGCACGTGGTGGCGACGGCGCCGCCGTGCGATGGGGTGACGCACGTCGGCGGGGACATGTTCGAGCCCGTTCCAGCTGCGGATGTCATCTTGATGAAGGTAACGACTAAACTAACTAATTTCATTACTCTGATTTGTTAAGGAAGTGATTCGGATTTATACATGCTAATTTTCTCAATAGTTTGGGTTATTATTATTTATTGGTTTATATAGGATATGGTATCAAAATGGACTTTTCTTTCAGATCATGTGTTCAAATACTCACGATCTTGTATTAATCATTTGTTTAAGCACATGATCATATGGCGGTGTAAAATTCAAGTTTATAAGTTGACATATAAGAAATTGGTTTAAAATTTATACATGAATTTCTTTCTAACTCGAGACTAATTTGTTTATAACACTTATGGACAACAATGCTACAAACATAAAAAGGTTGAATTATCTAAAAATCATGTATACATTTCGTTTTGTTTATGTTTTGTAGTGGATACTGCATAACTGGAGCGACGAGGACTGCGTGAGAATTCTAAAGAACTGCAAGAAGGCAATCCCGGAGAAGACAGGAAAGTTGATTATCGTGGATATGGTGATTGATCCAGGGGAGAAGAGTCCTTTTGACGGCTCAAGATAGGGTGAGTAACTTTAGGGTGAGTAACAGTGAGTAACCTAATCTGAACCCTTCTTTTAAGTGACTGCAGATCTAAGGGTGGAGAATTAAATGAATTTATTTTTCCTAGTTTTCTTAATTGGATCATATCTTCTTCATTCTAACTCGGAAAAATTTTCAACAGTGAGTAACCTAATCTGAACCCTTCTCCATTTTCAATATTTTTTTAGGAAATTTTTTTTCATCCCTCTCTTTACCAACTCCATACCATATGGTATCTCCTTCGTTGTTTAGTCATTTTCGAAAATTTTTGCACAAAAGGAACGATTTAATCATGATCTATTGGATTTCAAAATTTTCTGGGGGAAAAAATTTCAAACCTCTCGTTACCAACTCCATACCATACTATACCACCCTGGTATGAGGTGGTTATTTAACTGGTATTAAATAACAGCATATGATATTTAATACCAGTCAATACTATATGCTGTTATTTAATACCAGTCAATACCATATGGTATATACTGGTAATAACTGACAAATTTTTTTGTTCCAAAAAATATCAAAGTGTATATCATTTTAAAGAGCACAATTAATCTGATCTAACTGTGCAAAAAAAATTAAATTCCGAGTTAAAACGAGTGAGAAATCGTCCGTTAAAGATTAAGGAAAAGAAAATTAATAATTTTTCCAGGAGAGAGAAGGAGGCGCTGATGTGGCAGATTCTTATTGGATTATGCATGGGGTTACTCACCACAAGGTTACTCACCGGATCTGCTTCCCTTTCGACGCAGGTTTGTTGGTGGATTTACTCATGATGGTGCAAACTTCTGGTAAAGAGAGAAGAGAGGCAGAATGGAAGAAGATTTTGGAAGAAGGAGGGTTTCCTCGATATAAAATCATCAAGATCCCAAGCTTGTCCTCCATCATCGAAGCTTATCCTAATTGATCCATTGATGGCAATCACCAAACATCCCTGTGCTCAAAAATCAAAATATTTGATATTGTTTGTTGTTTCTGGTTAGTTAATTATAAGTTGTCATATTCATCTTTGGTATGATGCATGTTATGGTCACTTTGGCTAAAAGCCTATCTATCTTGTCATCATTTCGATGTTTTCCTTTGTTTATAACTCCAAGATCTGAAAGTTATTATGTATCTCAATATTTTTAAAATTTATGATCGCTATTTAATATTTGGTTAGCTACACCTAGGGTCATATGGAATTCTTGATTCTCGTATAAATGTATTAGAAAATTGTGTATTGTAATTATGCGTTTTATAAAAAAGTAGATTATAAAGTTTCGAAATTTTAGCATTTGGTTGAAGAAGAAAAGAAAGTTCGGTTTCAAAATACTTTTATACCCTTGATAGCCTAAGTCTCCATTTCCTCCTTCTCATTTGTGTTTTTGGCTAAATATAGAATACAATCTCAAACACAATTATGCATAGTTATTATTTAATTAGCACAACATGTATTCCTAATACAACTGTTTCATAATTATATCAAACAATAATGTATTCAATAAGATATACCTGTATTAATAAAATTCGAAAGTTTCAAAAGACATGCTAACCCTTGTATGGGTTGACAAAATGACAACCCCTATTAATTATAGGTTTTTAAGGTAATTAATTTGTGTTGCATTTAATAATCCATATGAATTAAAAACACATATTAATTACTTTCCTTTTTCAGTGCACTGGTAGTTGTATCAGTGCACTGGTATACTGAACTCATATTAATTACGTTCCTTTTTTGGAACTACCATTGCAGTGATACATCTACCATTGCACCTGTACACAACTACCAGTGCACTGATACAACTACCAGTGCACTGAAAAAAGGAAAGTAATTAATATGTGTTTTTAATTCATACAGATTATTAAATACAACACAAATTAATTACCTTAAAAACCTATAATTAATAGGGGTTGTCATTTTGCCAACCCTTTTATGGGTAGGCATGCTATCTCATCCCAAAACGCATTTCACACCAATAGAAAATATAGTATACACTTAAAGTAGGGACATAATATGATTTGATTTCACAAGGACTAGTTATCATAATGTCCTTGAAGATCCTTTCTTCGCACCATACATATATGAGAAAATACCAACACGAAAGACAAGAACTTTAAACTTAACCAATATAACTTATTTTGTAATTAATCACCATTTATTGTTAATGATATTCCTTCTTATTTAATTTCTTGACTCTGTTGTTTTGTCAACCGCCGTCTCTTGCTTAGCAGATTTCTTTACTGTGAAATAAAAACATAACAACATAAGGAAACATTAAAAGCTGAAGATGTAATGTAACAGAAAGCATTCATTATTAAATATATTGAATCAAACACACCTAAAAGCAACCTACCGGTGATTTCATTAATCGTCGACGAACTATCCATGGTTTCTTTATGCTGGCAACAACGGAGGCATAAGTGAAAAGTATTGTAATCACAACAATAACCATCGATACCACATTCGTTGCTTGTTGTTGGTCGCGCTTGGGTTTCTGTGTCCAAGTTCAGTAAAAAAAAATTGAAAACTAGAAATGAATAAGTAATTACAACACCAACAATAGCACAAATTTTATTACAACAAATAATTCTCACTATTAAAAAATATGTATCTCAACATGACATCATATTCTTCAAGATTCATCAATGTCGATCCTTTATTTCTGCGTGTTATAATCTTTAAATTTCGCAATAGTTACTTAAGCACAATATATAATGGGATCAATTAAAGCCGTTTTTAGAGAGAAAAAGGACGGTTGATCCCATTATAATGATGTTGACTTTATGTGGTGTTGGTGGTGTTATAGACGACTCAATTTAGTACCCAATTAATGTCGATAAAGTCATTGACTAAATTATCATAACCCGAATACTCGATCGAGTCGAAAGAATGAGTGGTGTACATAAGAATGAATCTTTTACTTGCATCATTCAATGATGATCAAAACTGCACCCAACTAAACTTCAAGTTATACAAATCAGTCGTCTTACCTTTGTTAGTAAATCGCGATTCAGTGAGAACTGTTGTATCTTATATATTATTGGAACCACATAAAATCTATATATCGTACAAAGACATATTTATTTAATAACTCCAACATTAATAATAAAAATATTCACTTCTCTGACTCTTAAAAGGAGTATAACTCTATGACAAATTACACAATAGTACTGCTTGAACTTACCCGATGAAAGAAGCAGCTTTCTGGTGGTGATCATCCGTTGATTGTTCTCGCATGAAGCTGCATCCAAAGGCTTGATGGACCCAGAAACACAAATCACAAGAGCCAGGAGCAGGAAAGGGATAGCCTTGATCATTTCCATTGCTGTTTAGTGTTTGAGATACTACTTGAATTGGCTATGTATGTTGAATGCCCCACAAGTATTGCAAGATATAGAAGCTATATATATATATATATATTCATCACAGAACGTTCGATGCTCGATCGATAGCTTCCCAACATCGAAGTGAGACAAATTGTCTATGTCTATATATGGATCCATATCTATGTCATCGACGAGTTAGAGTTTCATTTGCGGAGGGATCCATATCTATGTCTATATATGGATCGCTGTCCAATATTGTTGCTGTTATTAGAAAATTTTGTATTCTTCAAAGACCCATTAATTAATTAATTGTTTTACGTACTCCTTAGTTGTTATCTATCCGACTGTCATTTCCGTCTTGGATGGACGTGATCCATTGAAGTGCTGAGATCCATTGAAGTGACGACGAAGGAGATCAAAGAACAATCATATAATTAGCCACCTTGTGACTTTTTTTAATGTAATTTTGAGTTAAATGATGATGTTTTTGGAGAGAATTGAGTCTTTTTATGTTGGCCAATACTATGATGCCGCGGAAAAAGGGTCTGGATCTGAGATCGATCTGGAGGGAAGAAGGGTTTGGATCTAGGCAGAGATTCGCTTGATCTAGAGAGGCCGGCGTTGGATTTTAGAATGGCGGAGAGAAACAAGTGACAACGGGTCTGGGCAACGAGCAGAATCGGCGGTGACTTATAAGGATGAAAGGCGAGAGTCATGTCGGCCTAGCTGCCGTAGAGCTGGCACAACGATCACTATCAACGACAAAATGTATTCTTTATGTATTTTTCCTTTTCCTATTTGTGTTTTTATGGGCAATGTATTCATGTATTTTAAGAATAAATGTATTAAAAAGTAATTAATAAAATTAGAATTTTATTTTATTTGTACCATTGAAGGTAAAATAATAAATATTAATCAAAATTATGAAATTTGAAATAGAAGCAAAAGTATTTGCTCATGAAGCAAATATTTATTTCGGCAAGGTCTTT